TGGTCAAGTCAAGTTGACACATAAATTAACCATCATAATCTAAGTCTGCTCTGTCCAATATAGTAAATACTAGCCACATGTAGTTATTGAATACTTGAAATGTGCCTAGTGTATCTGAAAAACTTAATTTTGAATTTTGTTTAATTTCAATTTGAATAGACACATGAAGTCTAGGGCCTACCATAATGGACAGTGCAGCTCTAGAGAACCTGATTTAGGATGGGGGGGCAGGGTCAGGAAAGGTCTTCTCAGGCAAAAACGTGTAAATGGAGATGTGGAGGATGAATTGACAGCATCCAAGTGAGGAGTGAGGTGGAGGAGGGAAGGCTGAGGGTGTGCACTTAGGGCACAAGGATTGGGAAGGACATTCCAGAGAGAGGAAACAGAATGTACAAGTCCCTGGAAGTGGAGAAGCTTAAAAAAGAAGGATTTTTAGTGTTGAGGAATTGGGATCTTTTTCCCATAAAATTGGGAAATTTTATGATATAATGACCTTTTATTGACCCATGGTTTATCTCATCTTCATATTTAAATTTGGGGTGCAGTAACATGTTCTGGCAGGACATGAATGTCAGAGCCAGTCCTTTCCCAGTGCAGTTTCATTCCCTGAAGACTCCCTTCTTTTGCTAAAGAGTCTCAACTTCTTCTGATTGTACCATGTCTTACAAGTAATAGGTTTGAGAAGTTTACTTCTACGTAAGGAAGGGTTTCCTCTTATTTGGCCCTTTATTACTATTTTAAAGCTTAAAGAGTTGACTGATTCCAGGTTGTTCAGTTTCTCCATATATCCATATATGTATGTATCTATCCATATGGAGAAACTGAACAACCTGGAATCAATATATATATAAATAAATATATAAATATATATAAATTAAATATATATATACAAATATAAATGCATATATATATAAAATTTTATATACTTTCTGCTTGACTTTTCCATAGTAAATAAGAGTAGAGATTTCCTTTCTCACACATATCAAAACATTTGCTACTTGGGCTCAAAAGATCAGTAAAAGGCAGACAGTGAGTGAACTCTTGCAACTTTTAAATGTAATTCAATGTCTGTTTTGTATTTTATCTGGATTCATCATCTCCCAATGATTTGAAAGTTGTGGATCTGATTTTATATGTATATACATATATTTCCCACTGTGTTATGTTATTCACATTCAATACTGGGCAATGATTTCTACTTATCAGCAAGAAAAGTTTCATAGTCTAAGAATGCCTAAGTGTAATTTTTTTGGTAGACTAATTACCACTTCAGAGCAGTTTTAATTAAAAAAGAATCTTGCCCCATTTTAAACTCCCTTTCCTGCAGATTTACTCATTTTTCACCCCGACACCACTTTTTATTTTTTGCAGATTTTTTTTTGATGAAAGCCAGTTTTTCTTGAAAAGCATTTCTCTATTTTTCTATTTAGTTTGAAGGCTTGTAGATTTTCTGGACCAAATATTCTTGAAGATGTTTATTATGATTCACTAAATAAAAGTAAGATCTAAGGCTTAACACAGGAGCTGGGAAACTGGAAATTTTGAATTGTAACCCACTTTGCCTCCTGTTGTGGGATTTCAGTAAAGTGCTCTACTAGGAAGATGTTAATTCCTGATGTTCGAGGTGATTCTATATAGATGTCATGTATTTTCCTGATTTATTTTTAAGATTATTAAAATGTATTAATAATAGCTAGTTGAACTGGGTTTAACCATGAAAGTATCAGAGGTGTGTGAACTTGGACCTCTGTTACTATAAGAGCACAAGTACTCATGCTTGTCCAAAGGACTGCTAAGTGGGGTGTACCAGCATCTACCCCTTTCTTAAGCAACTCAACACCACTCAGGGCATTATTTGAACAGTCTCTGTGCCTGTTAATGAACAACCATAGGGCTGAAGTCAGAGATTTGAGCCTGCGTAGTTAAGAGTATAGAAGTCACCAAAATGTACATAGCAAGGTAATGTTGTAAAAAGTTAAAGCACAAAAAAAGGGGGAAGATTGGAAAATAAACTTGGTTACATAAATTGAATGCTAAAAAAGCCATGGTAAGAGACATACAAGAGAGTACTTCTTATAGAACAGAAAGAGGGGGACCTCTGGGAATTGGTAACCTTCTGGGAATTAAATGCCAGTTATGTCCTGGACCAATTATCAGTGCTTTTACTAAAGACAATTTTTAAAAAACATTTTATTTATTTATTTGAGAGAGAGAGAGCGTGTGTGTGAGTGGGGTAAGGGGCAGAGAGAGGGAATCTCAAGCAGACTCCTCGCTGAGCCCAGAGCCCGACTTGGGTCTCCATCTCACAACCCATCAGGTCATGACCTCAGCCAAAACCAAGAGTTGGGTGCTCAACTGCCTGAGCCACCCAGCTGCCCCTAAAGATAATTGCTTTAAAGCAGCAATCTTGGGAGCAAGCATGGCCAGGTGTGATCCCAGACTCCTCTTCTTACTGAGTGCCCTTGACAAATCACTTAACTTCTATGAATCTCAACTTTCTTTTCTAAAAAGTGAGGATAATTATATCTACTTCACAGGGTAATGTAAGGATTAAATGAAGTAATCCGATATTAGTAAAGAATAGTTCTTTTCCCATCCCTCTAACAACACCAACATGCATTCCTTAGAAGTGGTTTGCAGTGGTTAAGTGCTGGGACTCTGGAATCGGACTGTTTAAGTCATGGCACTCTCACTTATCAGCTGTGTGACCTTGGACAAGTTACTTGACCTCTCAGTGCTCCATTTTCATAATATGTACAATGAAGCTATTAATAGTATTTTCCCCCATAAAGTTGTTATGAGGATTAGAAGAGTTTAATCTATGAAGTGTTTAGGACAGCGCTTTGGCACACAGTGAACATTTAAAAATGTTAGCTAAAAATGTGCAATAGTTTTGGATTCTTTCTAGAAGTGATTAATTTGGTGTTAGGTTATATTCACATAACTGGACAGGAAGACATGGTAACAGTCATGCCAGCTGTGGGGTGAGTTTCTTGTAAGTCTGTTTGGGGCAACACTGCCTGCTGTGAACAGGTGGTGGTGATGGTTTTCCTTCCAGCTAAGGTTGTAGATGGTTGCAGGACAGTTCTGGGCGAGACCCTTTAGAGCCAGCAGCCAGGCTGTCTTGCATCCAGCCTTTGTTACTGATATTGGGCAAATCAACATTTCTGACTGTTTCTTCCCTTGTGAAATGGGGATAATTTTTGCCTCTGGGGGTGGTGTGAGTATTATATGTGTTAATTTACCTAGAACCCATGTAGCCTGCACCCAGCACATAGCTGCAGTGGTAACGATTATTTCATGAAATATGTACAGCAGTAGGGCCCTCGGGGTTGTTCAAAGGAAGGAAAACCAGAAGGCAGCCAGAAGTGGGCCCTTTCTGCCTGTCTGAACTCGGTCTGGGTAAGAGGAAGAAAATCTCTTCCTTTTGCAACCTAAATGACTACAGAGGTCTCCCCTGGGCCCCTGCCTTTCGCGCACCCCCCCTCCCCAATAGGCAAAGACACCATTCTTTCCAGTTTTATAATCTACTCATTTCTGTACGTGCGGGTTTATCTGGGCTTGGTGGTAAGCCAAGGGTGGGTGGGGAGAAGCATGAAAACCTGGCAACCTAGCTCCCCCATCTCCGGATGCCGCAGGGCTCCTGCCAGCCGTCCTGGGTTAAAAAACGTGCTTTTTATTTCACTTCCCCGCAGTCTCATGTGCAGCAGCTCATTACCACCCGCCTCAGTCACCACTGCTAGCGTCTCCCCAGAACGTTTTCCCCTCCCCCCATTTCAGGGACATTGGTCGTAGCTGACATTTAAAAGAAATAAACACGGATTTTAAAAATTACCACCTTCTCCGCCCGAAGAACTCAGCAGCAATGAATAACAGAACAGTCCAGCGAAGGGCGCCTGTCGGGGCTCAGCTCCTCCAGCCCTTCCTGCCATATAATTCCCCACACCCGAGCAGCACAAATCACCATTTCCAGGCACCACTCGAGGCTGCCAATTCCACTTTCGCTTAATCTCATTTAAAACCCGGCTACAGATGAGGCTCTGTCGCTGCGGCGAGGAGCCGGGCGGGGGGCAGCGGGAGGGACGCGAGGCCTGGATGGGAAGGGAGCGCAGGGGCCCCTCGCGGTTCGGGGCCGCGGGCGGATCTCCAGAACAAGTGCAGGCCGCCCGGGCTCCGAGGCGGGCGAGCCCCGAGGGGCGCGGGGCGCGGGCGGCGCAGACAAAGAAGCCGGCGCTAGCGCCGGCCCCACCACCCCTCTCCTTCCCCCCGCGCCTCCTCTCAGGAAAAAGAGGGAAATCTGAGGGCCAAAGGGGATGATCTTCCCCTTGTGCTCTCCCAGACAGCTGGGCGGGAGGTTCTCTCTCTCCGAGGTTTCTCCGTCCCCTGCTGTAGGTTGGCGAACCCCGTGGCCCCCGACAGCAACCCCCAGACCCACCCCCTCCTCCGGCTCGCGCCCCTCGGCGGCCCTTCCGGGTGGGAACTGCGCCGCGGGGCCAGGGCCCCGGGAGGCGTGCGCCCCGCGCCGCCCGAGGTGCGGGCGAGCGAGCCTGAGAGGGCGGGGGCC